TGTGCGGGCAAGGGGTCCTTTCAGTGAGAGCGATGGTCCGTGCCTTCTCAGATCTGTCGTCATCGTTAATTAAAATGTTAACACTCACCTTGCGAACAACCCAAAACGTGTCATAAATAATATTGAAAACCAACGCCTTTCGTTCTTGACAGATGTATCCGAGCGCAAATACACAGTCCTGTTAGTATGTACAGACTGCATTCCCAGAGAGTGCATGGATTTTATTACTTCTTTTCCACCATGTGAGGAGGTCTACCATCATCCCTTCCTTGGTACACACACAGTTATGAAGCCCCCAAAACCACCTACGATGCATCTCAAAGGTTAGAGTTTATTTGAAAGCTTGGAGAACAAGTACATCATCCCTCCCTCTCCTAATGACTTGCCGAGAACAGGAGTACCCCCAAATGCTTGGAACCGGGGAATTCCCCGGGGAAATCCGACATGTGCCGGATCTCAGCATTCAGCTGAAGGGATCACCGCCACCTCCAAGCACGAAAACATTCACGACCCCAACTGGACTAGGGACTACAGCAATTGGTGTGAAATACGAAAAAAACTAGTCAATTGTGGTGAAATGTAAATGAAAAAAATTACACTGGCACACAAAACAAGGTGTCACATCCAGATTTCACACATGATTCTCTATGTATGTCGAGGTTCTGAATGCAAATCTGAAACCATAATGGTGCCAAGAACCTCCGAGTTTTTTAATTGTGAAAAACCGACATGAATTGTAAACTGTAAAACCAGATGTTTTTCGCGATTTAAAAAAACTGAAAAGTGATGATGTAACTTTGGCTGCGCATTAATACACAAGCATGTGTCAATTCTTTCTGTCTGACAACTTTTTTATTTTGTATGCCTGTTTTATCATCTTCTGTTTCCTTTCTATTCTTCACATACTTTCACCCAGAACTACGTGTATGTGCGGCGTTTCATCCACAATGGAAAGAAACTTAACGTAATGCCGTAAACCTAGCAGTAAAATTTACACGTAAATTCAAGCATTCATTATGACGAATGGAAGTTAGATCGTAAGTTTCGCCTGAGACATTTAGATTTTAACGGATTGAAGCATGATCGGTTGCCCATTCGTGTATAGCATGGCGGAAATATCTTTGCGCCATGGTCTAGCTTTTTCTTCGATTTTCCTATCGATTTTTCTTTATATATAAATGCGAGTAGCTGTTGTATTAGTGCTCACATTTCAAACGAACACATTTTTAAATTCTTACTTGAAAAACAAGAATATCCGTACCCAATTTACGAGTGATTCGTCGAACGTAATTATTTTATTCGCCACGTCAAGTTAAAGTAACAAGCAAAATAGCCCAAATTCTTACTTTAAATTCACTACTCTCGTCAAAACCGTTCGAAAAAATCTTCAGTAAATAACAGTATTGAACATAACCACCAAGTACCTGAACACTATCCACGTTTGTTTCTTTCATGCTGCTCTCTGATTGGTCGTTGGTACAATACCGACGTATACAAAACGTAAAAGCTTGGTGCTTGTAAAGTCATTAAGTTGACAGCTTTATGTTTACGGATACGTCAAGGTCTTGTGAATGTTCGGGGTTAATAACTCATATCTAGGTTTTGCGCCTACGTTACGCTTACGCCTGTGTTTGCATTGCGAACGAAGCCTGAGAGGACATTCTTGGCCCCCAGCGACGAGCGGCGGTGGCTGCGCGCGCGGGGCCACCTGCGCCGAGGGCCCGCGGCCCCGCCCCCCGC